CAAGCAGCAACTGAGTACAAAGGTCGTAACTAGAAGAGATAATTGTTTGCTTTAATTCTTTATTTATTTTTCTATGTTTTAGGAAAAATACATTTAACAACTTATTTCAAAATAGCAATAATCTATATACATATGTTATGTATAATAATTGAAATGTGACTGTATTTTACAAAATACTAGTCTACTAAAACACAGCCAAGACAGGTTACTTTGTACAGACCAAAGGTCAGTTTTATGTTATTTGATACAGTAACATGAGTGCACGTGAGCTGCATCATTGTAATTTCTGTATTGTTAGCTAGGCATGGGTGAAAGGACAATATAATAAAAATAATAAATATATATAAATGTATAATGTTATGAGATTTAAGCTATTTAATCTAAACATTTATGTTTTTGTGTTATAACTTGTGTTCACTGTAGCATGAAAGAGGCATAATTTATATTTATTCCCAATTTTTTATGATGGTTACAAGAACGGTCAAATCTACCAAACCCTTACAGAGATTAATTACTGAAAATAACAGACAACATATAATGTTTTTTCTTAAGGAATGTTTGATTACTATCTGGACATGTGAAATTTCAGAGCAATGTTTCTCTCATGCCTTTTTTTCTTTTCACATCTTGCCTATCTATCATGCAAAGTAATTTTCATTTTAAGATTAAAAATACTTTTATGCATCAGAAAATTTTACAAACCTTAAGACTTAATAAAAAAATTAGATATTTTGCATACGAAAACATTGTAATGTTCACTGATAAACTGCCCAATTTCATTAACATTTGCTTACTAATTAAAAAGTTATAGCATGAAAACTTTAATAAGCACAAAATGGTTATGAGATCATTCCCAGGGACTGATCCTGTGTTGAAAGAGTTAATAAGTAAAGGTTATCAACTTTCATCTACAGAGGAAAGGGACCAGTTACATGAACTCATGGGGAAAAGGTTAATTTCTGTAAACATATCAAATACTAAAATCACTACACATTATTCAGGCCTAGTGTAGCCTGGTTGTTAGGACACTTGATTCGCAGTCTATGGGTGACAGGTAAAAAGTAGCCCAAGAGTTGGCTGTGGATGGTGTTGACTAGTCTATAACTTCACAGTCAGGGATGGCAACCACAGGTAGCCTTTGAGTAGATTTGTGCAATATTTAAAACAAACTGCAATATTCAATGACAACAATCAACTTAATAACGACTTTAGATGTGCTGGAACTGGTTTAAAGTTTAATACTCGTATCAACATAAGAACCATTTAATGAGGCAAAAACATCCAGCAAAATGGAAGGATTCTAGACTTCACGAAATATTTCTCACTTTTCAAATTACTACAACAAACTTAGCTTCAGCAATAAGGAAGGTATACTGTAGGAATAATTTGACACTAATGAAGAAAATCACATCAAATGTTGTGTAGTACTTAGTTTTCTAAACTTAAAACATTCATCAAACTTTCCTGACATACAATAAAATGCTATTCACCTATAAAAAACATGAATGCAAACATTGGAAATGAACAATATGAGTTAGAAACAGAAATTTAAAGACAATGAAATAGATACTTACATCACGAAATACTTTTACAGGAACAGCTTTGGCTTTTTCTTGGTCTAAATATGTGGACCAACTGAAAGGTTTGGATTTTGTTATAATTCTTCCTGGAGAGACTGATCTTGAAGAGGAATCTTCCTTATTGGAGTTTGACAACTTCATTTCTTTATTTTCTGGCTGTAGAAAAAGTAAGCAAACAACAGAGAAAACTCAACTGAACTCAAATCAGAGAAAACTGAATGCAGACTATAAAAATAGCTTACACTTCTTTACTAATGCAAACCTTTTTATACATGCATATTTGTTTTAGTTATACATTAAAAAAGCTGTAACTTTATACTGAGCAACAGTCTTATTTAATTACAGTTGAACTTTGAAACAAATACTTAACATTTATGCTTTAAACAATATTTCTATACTCTCTTTAAATTAAAATCTGAAATGTTTTTTGGTGAAATCTGAGATAAATGACTATAACACTAACTAGCTACAGAGTTGGGAAGCAGGACTGATACTGATAGCACAGCAAAACCCCAAACTAATGAGGTTACATAATAGTAATCTGAGATAAATGACTATGACACTAACTAGCTACAGAGTTGGGAAGCAGGACTGATACTGATAGTACAGCAAAACCCCAAACTAATGAGGTAACATAA